GTGCCCCAAGACTTTGATTTTAATGAGAAGAGAGCATTGGGCCATAGGAAGAAGCCAAATTCCTTGACTCTATGTTCAAACTCGCCCATGAACTTCCTCACATCTGCCTCTCGGGCTGCCCTCTTGTAGCTGCCTGTCGTGAATCCTGCACACCAGCCCCAGCAGCTGAGGCCTCTCACCTCCATTCTACTCTTCACCTCTCCCTGGATTTCCTCCTCCCCTCTCCCTGTAACCTCCCTCATCCCTACACCATAGCCTCCGGATGAACTATTACCCATTTCTAGAGGCTCAGTCCAAAGTCTTTGAGCAAACTTCCTCATACACACACACACACACACACACACACACACACACACTGGATTAATCTCTCCCAGCCCCGTATTTCGAAAGCATTACATTTTCTCTACTACAGCACACCTTCCTGGCTGCCTTGGTTGAAAATTCTTCATAAAGATCTGGCCTTCCTATTGGATTGTGAGTTTTTCCTAGCCTGAGATCCTGCCCCATTAATCTCTATAATTCTGGAGGTTATGGAGGGTCTTGCAAAATGGGCATTGAGAAATGTGTGCTTCATTCAATTAACTGAGCATTTTAAAGCAACACCCGCTTTTTTATCTCTGCCAAATACTTCTCTGGGTGTGCCTCTCAGGCAGATAGTTAGGTGCTAGAAGACTTACAGATAGGTGGTCCTAGGAAGCCCATCCATAAATGGGCTTAACTTTTTAAGGTTGTAACTGGACATAGATGAGAGAGGAGGGCCCCATGTGTGCTCTTGTGTGCGAGTGACTCTGGTTGTGTGGTTGATGGTGTGATGTGAAGTCACCATCATACTCTATGGTGTGTGTGCCAGGATAAAGCCAAACTCCCATGGGTAGGGCGTGAGCTCTCACCTGAAAGGTGCTATCATTTTGGGGGCTAATTACCTGGGGAAGAGGTAGAATATTCAGTCCTAAGATCAGAATGGGAAGGAGAAGCCTGGATGTGGAGCAGAGTTGGAACCGGCTTCCCTGGTCTTCACCACTGGAGGTAATGGAATGTCTAAGAGCAGCTCCTGAACAAAACGTGCTCGGATAGTGGGAAGTCAGGAACGCAGGGATCCGAGGGCGCTCCTGGTGGCCAGAGAAGGCTAAGCTCGATGGTGGGTAGAACGGGGTGGGCACTGAGGCCAGGAATGGGGCACATTAGTGAAGATGACCAGAAACCTGTGTCAGGGGAACCAGAGTGGGTGATGCCATCTCAGGTTCTGTCCCTGGGAGTGGAGGACAATCTCAGCAGGCTGCAGGGGAACCCAAGAGAGGGTTTGTGTCCACAGACCAGAGCCTGAAGTAAAAGAGGGCACAGTAATGGTGGCACCAGCATCTGGGACACTCTGAGGGAGAGCTGAGACTGGGGAGAAGTATGTGGTCCGGTTGCTCCTCTTCATCAGGGAAATCTCATTAAAACCAACTCACAGAGGCTCTGGTTTACGTCATCATTTGCTTAGCCTTTATTCTGAGCATCTACTCAAAGCCAGGTCCCTGCTGGGCACAGGGGACTCTGAGATGCATCAGCCAGACCCTGCCTAGGGACAGTCCATCACAACTGGTAAACAAAGGCCACTCTGTCCACAGGGAGCTGTCCCAGGAGTGGGGCATAACACACTTTATATCTAAGATCCAGTGTAGTCCTCTGGGTAGAACAGTCCCTGGTCAAGATCATCATTCTGTTTCTAAGGCCCAGAGAGGTGGCAAGGTTTAGTGAGCAAAGGTCTAGAAAGCAGCCTTTGAAGTAAATGCCATCATTAACACAGGACAGCAGGATCCTGTTGCCAGGTGAGAACACAGAAGGGTTCATGACCCGGGACTCACAGTGCAGGTTGGACATATCACTTTTGCTCAACTTCAAAGTCAGCATGTCTAAGCTTGTTCCCAGGCTCCTGATTTCCCATCTCAGGAAGGGCAACCACATCTACTCCGCTGTCCAGGCCAAACCATGGGTGTCATTCAAAACTCCCTCCTGTCCCATCAGCCAGTCACCTAAGCTGCCCACATCTCCCTCCATAACACCTCTCCAACCCTACAGCAGCAGGCTCTACTGGTCTCCAGCCTCTAGCCTGGTACCCTCCAAATCCACCCCCTTACAGGAACCAGAGGGATCTTCCTGAAATGCAAACCTGATCCTGTCACTTCCCAGCTTAAAATCCTTCCATGCTCCCCATTCCCCTGAGAATAAAGTCCAAATTTCACCCTCTATCATAACCCCCTCTGCCCCTCTGTCTGCCCCCAGTACCGGCCACACTGAATGACTTGGCAGTCTCCTGAGGGTGCCTCCCTCTCAAGGCAGGTGCACAGAGGTCTCCTCTGCCTGGAAAGCCCTCCCTGCCCTGGGAATCTTTCATGCATCAGCTCAGGTATGGCATCCTGGGCTGGGTCCTTTCTACGGGCTCCCAGAGCCCCTGTGCCTTCCGCCACAAATGCACCTGGGATAACTGCCTGTAAAAGCCTGTCTCCACCAGGCTGTGACCTCCTTTGGGGTGGACAGCAGCCCTGATGACTCCCAGCATCCAGCACAGAACCCGAAGGAGTTCGGTGAGGAACGACAATGCTCAAGGACATAGTTCCTGTCCACCAGTGAAGGTCTGCTGATTCTCTGCTTGCTGACTCTGTCAAGCAGAAGGCCACTGGGATGGAGGAGTGAGGCTGTGAGCATTTAGAAACGAGGCCAGAGGCTGTCCTGGCAGTTCACATAGCTCTGGCTTGAGTGATTGTGATGACGTACGCAACAGCGGAAGTCAGGAGGAGAAAGCATGTCAGGATATTAGGGCAGATGCCCTTGGGTACTGTAGTGTCTGCAACTGGACACAATGACTCTTACGGTCAAATGTGACTTTGAATCCAATCCCGATAATGTTTGTTGAGGATCTGCTACATGCCAGGTACTGTGCTAGGTGCTTTCCCATAGCTTTTAAGTAGAGCTACGGTATAATTTATCATCTAAACTGGGACACTTCTAAGAGTGAAAGGGGGCACTATTAATAAATACTCTAGGACAACAGGTATAAATGGGAACTGCCCCAGGCAAGCCAAAACTTACAACCATCCTACCCACAGGTCACAGTTTGTGTGCTTCCTTGCCCCCCGCCCCCCGTAACTCTACACACAATTTGTAAATCTATATTTATCAGTATTTACTTATTTAATGTCTATTCCCCCACAAATTGCAAGGGTTAGGGTTTTGTTCACTAGTAGAAAAAAATCTCAATGCCTAGTATATAGAAACTACTTGATAAATACTTGTGGAAAGAAGGAAGGCAAGACTGGAGTAAAAGCCTGGGCAAGGAGAGGGGGAGTGGGGAAGAGAGAAGAGATGGAGGGAGCTGAGATCCTTGACTCCCGTGGTCAGCTTGACTCCCATGTTAGTGCTCCATGTGCTTGGGTCTTAAAGGAGTGGACTTTCAGGAAGAATACAGTTTAGGCAACAAGCTCAGCATCTAAGTGTGTTTACTAAAATCCAACCAGCTGATGAGCAACCTATTCATGGCACAAAAAGTGTCTAAATCTCTCTGTCCCTCAGTCTTGGCTGATCTATGTTTCTGTAGCATGGAGGAGTGCCCAGTTGTTTGTGAGCGAATCAATGACTTCTCAGTGATGATAGCAATGGCAGGCTGAAGCCTCTTCTCTTTAGCAAACCTAACCCTTCCCCTTGGCTCCTCCTCCATGCCTCACCCCCCAGTTCTGTCCTCAGGGATTCATCTAAAACACCCTTTTTTTTTTCAGGGACTCCCACTCGATCACTTCTCCTATCCTGTGTCTTTTTTTTTTTGTTTAATCATATCTCATTGTCCTCTCTATGAATAACTGTTTTCTGTCTATAAACCGTACTACAGTTGGCATAACAGGATTTGCCATGTTCAGTCCAATCCAGTTCAACCAATAGTTTAGTGAATATTTATTATCAGCTAGATCAGAAAAAATGTCGGGGCTATGGCAGTCAAGGGGCCATGAAATAACAGTCATCAAAGTTAGAAGAGACTCAGATGTCATCTCACTCCAGTGTCTTCCAAACAATTGAATCTCCTCTATGCACCATTTTGATAGTGTCATTTAGCTTGAAGGTGAACACTTTTAGTAAGGCAAAGTTCATAGCTCCTACATCCACTCCATTTTAGGCAGAGCCAATTGTTAAAAAGTTCTGTTTCTCTATAGACCTTACCTCCTCCTTTGGCCTCCACCCAGGAGATGTCTGTCCTGTCCTCTCTGATGGCTCTTTAGGGATAGAATGATAGTGGTCTGCTTCCTTTCTCTAACCTATGAAACCCCCATGTCATCTCCTATTTCTTACAAAGTCTTGCCCCTATGAGCAAACGCAGTATGGAAACCCATTGTTCCCCTTCTTTCTGGACTAGCAGGCCCTCTTCTCTGGGAATAGGTTCGCCACGACCACCACAGCCCACAAGTCCAGCCATGTGGTTCCAGTGCGCTGTCCTGTCCTTGCCTATGGGGCCAGAGTTGACTTGCCCAGAGGTGGCATATCCCCCAGGCTAGGCCAGTCACAGTCTTTTGGAACTGGAACTAGAAAATGAGAGTGTATCACTCTCCAGGGATGGAGCCAACAGATGTGACACTTGGCACCATGTCTCCTACAGGTGGAGGAGGCCAGTCTACAGTCTTTAGTTATGTGAGATACACTGGTACTCTCGTAATAAAGTCTCTATTTTGCTTGAACTAGTTCAAATTGTATTTCTTTTGCTTATAGCCAAAGAACCCTGTGAATCTGCTTCACTATATTTCCTTTATCCCACAAGACCTCCTGAACTCAACTGAACAAGATATTTGTGAGAGGTGGGGGAAGGTATTTGGGCCTATCCAATTTAAACATAAGACCAGCAGGCCTCATATCCATCCTGGTTTTGACCCTGCACTCCTAATTTGTAGCTTCTACTGGAATTTCCCAGTACAACACTGCCCTTTCCCAGATTAAGCCATAAAACCAGCAGGTGCTGAAGGGGTTTGGTTACTCACTGGGTCATTGTACATCTGGATGATGAGCTGTTTCACTCCATGCAGGGTAGGGTGGGCCCACGGAGAGGGATCCAGCCAGTGACGGTTCAGGTCAAACCCCATCAGAGAGCACCTAGGTAGTACCCGGAGTCAGAGTCAGTATGAACAGGACAAGTCAAACTTGTCACTTATCAAAATACAGCTAGGAGTAGGAGCAGTCCCTGTCTTACCTACCTAGTATTTATTTTTTGCCAGAAACAGTTCTAAACATTTTACATATATTAACTCACTCAATGCTTTCAACAAAACCCTATGAAGTCACTACTATTACAATTCCTATTTTATATAAGAAGAAGTTGAATCACAGAGAGGTTCAAATGTTTCTGTGGAGGAGTCTGACTTCAGTATCCATGCTCTGAGACCACATACACATGTATATCTCTCATACAGGGCAGTAGAAAGAAGTGCTCAGGCTGAAGTCACTGGTGTCCATATTATTCCTCTCTGTCTCTCACCCACAGCTAATCCGTTTGTCTCTACCTTCAAAATGTATTCAGAACCCAGCACCCTTTTATCAGCTCCACTGATATCACCTTGAGCTCAGATGAAGGTCCTGAGTATTTTAACAGTCTCTTACCTGGTTTATTTCCACCCTGGTATCCTCCCAGCCCACCTCTCATCCCATCTTCTTCCCCACCCCCATTTTCCACATAGCATCCAGGGTGATCCTCTAAAACACAAGTCAGATGATGTCCCTTTTATGCTCAAATGTTAGATGCAGAGTAAAACCCCTTACAAGCTACAAGGCCCCATGTGGTCCTTCCTTGCTAACTTCTCTGACCTCAGCTCCTACCACCATCCCTCTTGCTTCTTCTGTGCCAGATGCTGGACTCCTCATTGTTCCTCCTACACACTAGGTGCATCCTGCCCTCTATCTTTTCCTCCAGTCTGGGAGTCAGGCAGACCAGAGTTCATAACCACTGTCTGATCCCTCTTAATGTAGTAGGCATTTACCCATTTTCTTTGGAGAATGCCCAACATCTAACCCTGTGATTAGAGGGGACAGTGTTGGGGAGAGTTTGCTCCTCCATCATTACAGATGATGAGACTATGGTGGTGCCTTTTCTCCCACCACAGAAGACAGATGGGCCAGATGCTCCCTCTTTGTGATCTGCCAGCCATAGCAACAGAAAACCAGACTCAGGCAACAGTCACTTCCCTCCAGGCCTTAAAGTTGGACTAGGTGATATGAGGTTGGGAGTCAGGTGTACAGCCGTGCTACCATTGAACAGGGGTAGTTATCCCTGCCAACAGCCAGTTTTCGCCCTCCATGGCTATTCTGTTAATTGTTTGTTTTCCAAATATGGCCCTTCCTATAAATTCCCTGTTTGCTTCAGTGGCTGGAGTTAGTCCTTGTTCCTTTAACAGAAAGCATCACTAACCATATAGCTCTGTAGGCTAATTTATATTAAACCCTAGTGGCTGGTCACCACGCAGATGGAACCATTGGTCTGGGTGCTATGCCCACAGAGCTCTTTGAGCTTCTACTGAGCATCTAAAAATTTGGAATGGAACGCTATTGTTAACAACAGGACTTAATCACAAATGACCATAACTTTAGAGATGGTTAGCTTACCTAACTCTCCTCTGCCTTCAATAAGAATGCCCTAAGCAAATGCCTTAGCCAAGTCACTAGCTTGCTCCATCATACTTCTATGACCTGGTACTCACCACCTCCCCAGGCAGCTTATCTCATTCTTGGACAGCTCTGCTAGAAAACTCTTCCTTCTCTTTAGCTGAAATTTGTCTTCCCAGTGACTTCCTGCACTAGTCTCATCTTTGCCTCATAGAGTCACACAGAACCATAAGGCTATGTTGTGAAGACCAGGAGCTTTGGAAGTCACAGTTAGGTTTAAGTTTTGATTGGTGACCTTTTTAAATTTCTTTTTTTTAAAACTCCTTTGGGGGCACCTGGGTGGCTCAGTCATTAAGCGTCTGCCTTCGGCTCAGGTCATGGTCCCGGGGTCCTGGGATCGAGCCCCGCATCGGGCTTGTTGCTCCATGGGGAGCCTGCTTCTCCCTCTCCTACTCCCTCTGCTTGTTGTGTTCCCTCTCTCTGTGTGTCTCTCTCTGTCAAATAAATAAACAAAATCTTTAAAAAAAACCAAAACCCTCTGGGCTTCTGTTTTATCATATGTATAATGAGGATAACAACCTTGACTTTCTGTATTGTGAACATGAACTACTAATGGCCCAGCAGAATCCTCAGAACTGAATGAATATTGAATAAATGGCAGCCAGTGATGACAGTGGCATTGGTGGGGATTGTGGTATTGTTGAAATTGTCTAAATCTAAATATCACCTCCTCCAGGAAGGCTTGCTGACTTACTCTCTGCAAATGTGGGATAGGTGCTTTCCCTCTGCTCCCACGGCATCCACTGCTCCCCCCACCCCCTACCCTGCCCATCAGAGTGACTACAGAACAAGATATAGTAATTATTGAGTCTGTCTTCCCCACTGAACCATGAATTCCTCAAGGGTGTGGATGATGTCTTATTCATATTTGTATTCTTGTGCTTGACAAAGAGTCTGGACTATGGTAGACATTGAGGAATTAGTTGTTGATTGAATATTTCATTCTTTCCCAAGAATTTTCCAATCTCATATGATATAGTTCTTACAACCATCTAGGCACACAGGTGGATTCCATTTTTCAAGTGGGAGTACTGAAGGCCAGAGAAGGTAAGCCATTCCTTCAAGGTCACCTACCTGGTACTCCATAGGGCCCAGAATACAATCCAGGTGAATTGGCCCTGGGGCCCTGGTCTTTCCATTTGGCCATTCTGCTTCCAGGAAGCCTCTTTCATTCAAAAAAGTGAGAGATTCAAAACTTAAGAGAAAGATCCTGAAAGGTCAACACCTTGATCCAGCCTGTTGATGAAAATAGTGTGTCTGGTGACTCAAAGGCCACTCAATCCTCAAAGAATCCTGGCGTTCTTTAGAAGCTAAAACATTGGTGAGACTCTTCAGTGAGTAGCACCTATGCTGGGTACTTTTTGAGCTGATTTTTTAGAGAACACTTCTAATGGTAACAGTCTATCAGTAGGTGGGTATTTACTAAAGAAAAACCTTAGTAAAGATGCAGGAGCCCTGCCTGGCTAGGGGCCAGGGGCACAGGCCTCTAATGTCTATATCATCTTGAGACAGTCACTTCCCCTCCCTGGGCTCCATGCTCTTCTTTGTAGAACGAGAGGGTTATACTTCACTCAGGATGGTCTCTCCCAGCTCACTCATTATATGTTGTTGGGTGTTCTTTGTTTTTTTACTTTTTAAGTTTTTATTTTAATTCCAGTTAGTTAACGTATTAGTGTCAGGTGTACAATATAGTGATTCACCACTTCCATATATCACCCGGTGCTCCTCATGACAAGTGCACTCCTTAGTCCCCTTCCCCCCACCTGCCTGCCCTCTTGTTCTCTATAGATAAGAGTCTGTTTCTTGGTTTGTCTCTCTCTTTTTTTCCCCTTTGCTTGTTTGTTTTGTTTCTTAAATTCTACATATAAGTGAGGTCATATGGTATTTGTCTTTCTCCAACTGACTTATTTCACTTGGCATTATACTCTCTAACTCCATCCATGTTGTTGCAAATGGCAAGATTTCATTCTTTTTTATGGCTGAATAATATTCCATTGTATAAATATACACCACATCTTCTTTATACATCTATCCATCAGTGGACGTGTAAGCTGCTTCCATATCTTGGCTATTGTGAATAATGCTGCTATAAATATCATTATATGATTTTAAAGCATCACTAATTGGGATTTATCCCCAAAGTTAGGGACTTGGAGGAAGCACACATTTCCGATAAAGTTAAAATACCGATATTCTAGGGAAAGGATTGACAGTTTTAAAAAGAAACACCAAAAAGTTAAGAGTTACTAATATCTTAATGTTAATTGCATGCATTTTTCAACATTTGATATTTTCACGGGACCCAATCTTTGCCTCTAGGAGTTCTCAAGTTGCTCTGAACTTTGAAGAAGGGATGGGAATTTGCCAAAGTCAAGGCCTCAGAGAGCAGGCAGGGGTGTGCAAAGTTCAGCGAAGTGAGAATTGTTGGAAGTTACACATATTTTTAACAGGCCACTAGTGTGTTATGTTGGTGTCCCTAATTAGGCTAGAAGCACCAGGAAGGCAGGGCTGACGCATTTTCTTGTTAGTGGTTTCAGGACCCAAATCATCTGCCTAAAGACAGAGAAATAGACAAGGTGACCTCCAGATGCCAGGTTCTCATACTATGATTGCCAGTTTGGAGTCACTGAGTATGAAATCCTGGGTCTCTGCTCTGGGTTTCTGTCTCCTTGGTGCTCTCTTCTATTCTGTTACTTATTTTTGAGATGAAATCTCTGTTTGAGCTCAAAGTCAGGACCCATGTTCTGACATGAATGGAACTCTTTATGGTAACAATGAGACACAATATTTGACATTAGGATCATTCTAGAAAATCCAATTTTATGGAAGTCAAATTTATAGGTAACTACATAATATATACTTTCATTCTCTTGAATTGGAGATACTCTTGACTAACTTTTTTTTTTTTTAAAGATTTTATTTATTTATTTAAGAGAGAGAGAGAATGAGAGATAGAGAGCACGAGAGGGAAGAGGGTCAGAGGGAGAAGCAGACTCTCCGCCGAGCAGGGAGCCCGATGCGGGACTCGATCCCGAGACTCCAGGATCATGACCTGAGCGGAAGGCGGTCGCTTAACTGACTGAGCCACCCAGGCGCCCACTCTTGACTATCTTTTGTTTCTTCTTCCAAACTGCGAGCCCAATGGGGGCAGGGATTATGTTTGTGTCACCTTGTGCCACCCCCCCAACTTATCTACTACCCAGGTGCAGAGAAGGTTCATTATATCTACTGAATCAATGAGTGAATGAACAAGTGTATGAACAAATACCCTGAATATGTGCGAACAAAGTTTAGGTTAATTCCTAAAGACATTTTTTGAAAGTATTTAAGTACCTGTTACATGCTAGACATTTTCACAATAGCCAGATAAGGTAGGTATTACTAATCCTCATTTTAGGGCGCCTGGGTGGGTCAGTCAGTTAAGTGTCTGTCCTTGG